TCATCCAATTTTTTAATTTACCTAATCCTTCAAGTCGTATTGGGGCACGCGGTAGCCAAGTTGGTTGAGGCACTATGCTATAAGCGAGAAGGTAGAGGGTTCGAGATCCAATGGGGTGGATTTTTCAATTGACCTAATACTTCCAGCCGCACTATGGCCCTGGGGTCGACTAAGCCACTAACAGAAATGAGTACCAGGGATCTTCCTAGGGGGCAAAATAGCGGCCGGCTAGTAAAACTGACAACTTCACCGCCATCTGTGAACCGATTGTCTAGATAATATGGGACTCTCAACGTTTCACAATCCTATGGCCCTCCACGGCCTGGTATAGGGCTTGCTTACCTACCAACCGCATTTTGACCCTGGAGTCGACTCAGCTTCTAGCAGAAATGTGCACCAGCTTGAGGGTTGGGCGTGAGGCTTTAAACGCCTCACCTTAAAAATGAGATTGTTACGAAATAACACAAAGACGTGCAAATATTAAGACTGATCTTAGAGAGGCAGTGTGTGTGATAGCGACTGGATTGATCTGGTTCAGGACCAGTCGAGGGCTTTTGTGAATAAGGCAATGAACCTTCGGGTTCCATAAAATATTTTATAGTTACACAACTTGCTGCTTCTCAAGAAGGGCTCAGTTCCATGGAGTCAGTTACTGTCGTCGGTAGACGTGTTTATGTACTGTTTCATAGTGAAAACATTTTAATATCGAACTAGACGGAAGGGAAGATATTTTATCTGTCACTACTCGTATCTGGTAGAGAAGAGGGAACTGGTGCCGAGAACTGGTGAATTCGGAACTGAGCCTTCAGCTTTCATAGGAGGCGGGGAATTTCTGGACTACTAGTTTGTCAAGAAGAATTCTGTTCCATGGAGTTAGTGAAAGGCGAAATGTTCTATGGCTTTGTATTGGTATCAGTGACATGTTCTTGTGAGCACGGAAATAAACTTTCAAANACCTAACCTTTTATTGATTAATATTTATCAATAATTTTCGAATACTATGAAATGCTGAGAACTACAATCAATTCAGTTGACTATTTAACTTTACCAGAATCTTAATCCCAAACTAGCCAACTAGTATCACCCCACAGAGGGACTTATCCCATAGTTCTGAATATGATGCTGAAAGGGATAAACAAAGGAAAATTATATGTTTAAGAATTTGTTGCTGAAGAGAATATTTGGACCTAAGGGACAGCAAGTAGAAGGATGAAGAAAATTACGTTATGAGGAGCTTCATAATTTCTACTTGTCCCCAAATATTTCTAGGATGATCCAGTGAAAAGGATGAGATTGCCGGGTTATGTAGCACGCATGGGAAANTAATCCTCTTCTTCCCTCAAATTTATATTGTCTTATCATCCTTTTTTTTTCATTTTCTCTTATTTCCCTCCGTCTCCTCCTTCATCTACTTCTATACCTTCACATTTTCAACAGAAACCACGCCATGAAGACATGGAAGAATTGAAATATAGCTCTACCATTCCTTATCTCGGCACTAGATGCAGGTGAGTGGTCAGTTTCACGCCCTGGCCGATTTAGCCCCAGAGAAGGAGCCCCTCGTTCTCCATCGGGTACTAGAGTCGCTGGGCCCCAGAGCTGGCCTGGACGTCATGGAGAAGAGGAAATTTTCTTGCCTCTGCTGAGATTCGAACCATGTTCAGGGCGTAGTCCATCTCTACACCGAGCTATCCTCCTC